TTTTTTCTTTCACTCTGTTCTATTTCTGCTGCCTTCAATGACTCAGTCTTTCCTGGATGCTGCTGGGCCTCCTCCATCCTCTTATATGACACCCATACATCCAGCCATGTTTTTTTTTTTTTTAGACCAACAGCAGATACCTAGTCAGCCTCCTGATTGACCTTCACATAAATTATCATTCCGTAGTCAGTCGTAGTCAAACATTTATATATATATATATATATAAAGTTCTTTAGTAGCAGGAACGACACCATGTTTGTGACATGGGCTTCAATATGACGTTCTAAAACAGCAAAGATCTCATTTATGGTTGAACGTTACCACAAAGTGGAGCACGACAAAAACAAAGAGTTTCAAAACAAATAAACTCACACCCAACCCACAATTAAAATATCAGTTAAAATAGAACAAAGGGTTTGAACACAGATCACACTGTGTAGGTACTACAAAAGTGCTCCAACAGAGGGCGTTCTAAGCACTGCTCAACTTTAGATACCTCCCTCCATTACAGTGGATTTGAAGTATTTGAAAATTGCAGTTTTCAAACACAGGTCTGTTGTTGTAAATACACAGACACAGGAAGGAACTACGTGTCTTTGTGCATCTGGTACTATTATATTTTTAGGCCCAAAAAACTGTTGTTGTTCTGATTTTCTCTACTAAGTGAGAGGGTATTTGATGTTCAAAATGTTGTTTGAGATAAGAATTGGAATCTTCCAAGGTCTAACACGTCATAAAATATTCTTCTGACTATTTAATGAAAACAGTGATGACCTTAACAAGTACTGCTAGCTTTGGGACAGTAATTATCAGGGTTTCCAACTATGTGAATTAAGCGCCGGTGACGGCCACTACTTCGTCGTTTCCGCAGCTGTTTCAGACTTGGGACAGATGCACAATAATAGTCAACCTGTTGCTGTTACTGTTCTGAAAATAATAAACATTTTAAGGGGTCTCAACCCACGGCTCAGTGTTTGGTTTATCAACGAACAATGTCTGAGGTGATTACAGTCCAGAAGTTTAACACCTCATAACGTTTAAGTGCTGTAGTCGTTTAACGACGGCTCCCGTCGTAACTTTATTTTTGAAATATCAAAGTAGCGCTGTGACTATGATGTCATAGATATACAGCTGGAGGAGAGGAAAATCTCTCTCGCTCTCTTTGTGTCCTGGTAAATGTAAATATCTCATAAGACATCATGAGACAGGTGACAGAAACAGGAACATCAGAGGTGCAAAATGAATCCTAGCGGAAACACTAGGAGTTGTGTTCGTGCATGATGAATGTCTAACATGATTCAATAATTCTCTCGGAGGGGAAGACGTTTTTATTTCTGCTGGAAAAAGACTAAAGTCTAACAGTGACGTCATTTTGTGAACAAATTTCAGCGTTGATATGGCTGTGAAGTCGTTTTGTTTTTCTGTCTGCTAACGCTGCACCAACAGGGTGAGTTAACGTTACGTTAACGGAGCTCAGACAGACAGATGCGTCGGAGAAGTGCTCCCCAAAGCTGGAGAATTGTGATATAATTTAACGTTTATGACCTTGCAAATGTAAATTTATGCTTGGCAGTCCATCAGTTTGAGTACACACGTCACATAAAACCAACGATTCAGTCAGCAGAAATAGAGATCGGTAAACACGGAAGCCGATGACGGCATAAAGAAATGAAAGTGTGAATAATGTTGATAGTGAAGTGGAGGAAATGTGAAAGAGTAGTGGTTAGAGCACTGACTCCTACTTTATGTTTGTTTTTTCGGAGGAAATGTGAAAGAGTAGTGCAGCAGAATGGAACGGCCGTTGGTTTGAGAACTGACTCCTACTTTATGTTTGTTTTTTCCCAGCTATCAGGGATTTTACTTTTAAAAAATCAAGTGAAGTTCCATTTTACAGACTAAAATAGATCTTTGAAAAAAACTTCTTTATCTAGTGTTAGCACCAAAAACTGTGAATGGCAGTTGAATCTTGACGCTGTGTATTTATTGAGCAATTTCCAAGCGTCTGGCTGGATGGAGCTAATGTTATATTGTAAGCAGTGATAACAGAGGAGACCAAACTATCTCACCGTATTGTGAGCCGCTGAGCCGACATACATTGATTTTTAGTCACATGAAAAATGTTTAGTTGAAAATCCAAATATTCCACCACCTGAGCCTGACAGTGTGTTTGATGTGTTTACAACTATTCCCTTGGTTTGGACAAAAGCAGATGGAACAGAATTCTGATTTTTACAGGTTCTGACATTGTCCTGTAGATATCTGAACTTTAAATATGAACACAGGCACAGAGCCTTTTGTACATACAGATGGAGCATTTGCTGTATTGTATAACAGTGGTCCCCAACCCCCGGGTCGTGGACCGGCACCGGTCCGTGGGTCAATTGGTGTACCTACATTATTTTCATTTTATTTCTTATCTAATTCTGAACGATCTTTTATTATTATTTATCTGGATTTTCTCCGCGAAATCTGTCCATGACTCACACTTGATACGTGTCCATTTCAATCCCTGCCATCAGTCCAGTGGTTCAGACACAGTGTGAATGTTTAATCTACTTAGCAGGATGTCAAACAAAATATACTGAACGTCCTGTGACACGGGAACAAGAGTAATGCTTGTCTGCTGTGGCCACTGCTGTTGGTGGAGCTGCCAATGACAGTATATACAGTAAAGGACCTTAAAACTCTGTACTGGCCCAGTCATATATTACACTGTAAATGGGGTCTTTACAACACGTCTGCACCGCCGTTTTAATTCATTATTACACAATTTAATTTAGAAAATGTAGANCGTCGTAATTTTAGCCGAAGGAAGGAGGCGCTCTGACCTCCGTCCACTGAAGTAATCGTCACTGTGGCCAAATTATTCACAACGCACTTGGCCCATGAGCTCCCCGGGATCCTCTGACTCCAAGACACTCAGTCCAAGCTCTCTGCTGTGGACAGGTTGGCTCTGGATCGTGGTCACAGACCAGGGCTTTTCCAAAATCTTTGGAAAGTTATTGTTCTGGTTTTTTTTAGATGCTTTAGGTCAGAGGTCGTCAACTGTATTTGTCAGAGGGTAGATATTTGGCAGATGTTTTCTGGACAGACACAGACACGGTTTGGTGGGTCAAATTCGGCCCACGGCCCACCAGTTGATGATCACTGCTTTAGAGCGTTACGTTCTTACAACAAGACCAGTCGAATGTCTTCATTAACACGAGTTGAGTTGGGATTAAAGGAAAGTCAAAAGTCGAAGTCAACTTTATTGTCAGATATGCCGTATATATTAGACATATGGCACAAATGACAAAAAGGCAAAAAATATAATAAACCCTTCAACCCACATCAATGAACAGGTACTTTGTACTTTAGACGAAACATGAGGGCCCCACTTCAAAGGATCAACCATCAAACCAGAGCCTGGTATTTGAGTTATGGCCTGTCTAGTTGACGTGGAGATGTGTCCTCGGGCCAAAGTACTAGAAGTTGGAGTGCAGTCGGCATGTGAACGGGCGTCACACGTCCTATCTACAGGGTGGCGTGTGTGAGGAGATACGTTGGGTGACTATGTGACAGACCAGTACGGGTCACATGGTTCCTGACAAATATCACTGAAACCTCCTTATTTAACCAATGGTGAACTTCAACCTTTAACCTCTCACTACAATTAGCTGGAGGCCACAGACGCACAGTCTGGACAAAGACAGGTTTGGTCACATCGTATTTTCACATCAACTTTGTGTCAGCAAGGAATTTCATGGGACTTTGTGACATCGTGTTTGCGGCAAACGCTGCTGCAGCTCTTTAACTGTTGAAGTCTCAGGCTCAGACGTCAACTCCTTAAATCACATCATGTCTGATTTATACCACGACAGAGGATTTAGCACTTTTTTAATCCTTTGTGGTTCCATTAATAAATGTCCAGATATGTGGATCAAAATGATAATCTATCCATACATGGAGACAACGATATACATTTAGATGTAGATCAAAAGTGTCAAGTAAAAAAAAAAAAAAAAAGCTATGACAAATCAAATTTTCATTCCTTATACTGTGACAATGAGGGCGCTCTAGAGAAGGAAAATTCAATTTGGCTTTATCTCAGCCTTTAGGCAAACACTTCTTTTTTTTTTTTTTTACCAAACTCTCTGTGGTTTGAAAAAATAAAAAGGCAAAGACAAACGTTCTAGATTTATATATTGCCCAAGGAAACTGGTTTATATCGAACCTGGACCTGAATTATGTATCACTTCCTGATGTTAGTATCAAATTTATCTCACCAGAGAGGGCGGTAAACTACAAGACTTGTTCCCCATTTCATCATTGGGTCAAGTCTGCTGTGACAGTAATATAGAGGCCGAGGAAAAATTCTTGGCACAGTTTCACCAAATTCTAAGGTACAGGGAAAACAAAAAAAAACTTTCTGAACTCCAGTCAAATACAAAAAATGTTATTAAGACCAATGCAGTCTGATGTATGGTCTTCTGTTATTGTAAATCAGGATGTAATCATTCAAACGTCCAGCTCTATGTGGCGTTTTTTTGGCATTTCGATTTGTCTCTATTTCTGGGTGGTGTGAGATTTTTAAAAATTTAAAAAACCTTTGGTCGATACAGTAGGACTCAGAGTTTGTTTAAAGTGACCCCTGTCAGTCAGCTTTGGTATTGCATCCGTGGGTTTCTACCAAAATAATTGAAAACAAATCTCCAATGACTGTAAAAGCAATATGTCTGTGGAGATTCTCATTCATTCAGGTCATGTTATCCTTGTAAAGTTCATTCATCCAGGTCATGTTATCCAAAGAGTTTAATTGTAAGAAACTGGAGCTTGAAAGATGTTTCCTCCACTAGGGTTCCCTCTTACATCAACCACCTTTGACCACTAGGGTTCCCTCTTACATCAACCAGAAACTGATGAAGTTCAAGCTCCAAGAAGAAGACCAGTTTCTTACAACTAAACTCTCTGGACTGTAAGAGTAGGTTCTCTAAAAACAAAAAACAAAAACACCGACTCACCCCAAGCTTGCGGCTGCGCATGCGAACGTAGCCCTGCTTAACGATGTCGTTGAAGTTGGTAGCCATCTTAGGAGGATGAGTGACCAGCTGACTGGGGTTGTGGAGACCATCCAGATCCTTTCCTGCCTCGGCCAGGTCTTTGCCTTTTTGTGCCTTGTGTGTAGTCTGTCTGTGTCAATCTGAACTCTGTTTCTGGTCCTTCAGAATAAACGTCCTTACATTTTTGCCGCTCCTTCTGTTTCCCTGGATTTCTCCTTTGTTGACTATTCCGTCCTTTACTCCACTTCTGCTGCTCCTCGGACGTGTTCTTTGGTTCAGTCTTCTGTCTTCTTCTTGTGTGGCATTTCTAAGAAATTGAAAAGAACAAAACATCACATTAATGTACAGCGTGCTGTGTGCACAGGTTGATTATATTTACGATCATAAATAAATGATCCACATAAATGATTTATTTAGCAGTGGGAAGGAAAACATCATTATCCATTTTTAATGTGCCACACACAGTTCCAGTATGAAGATAAGAATTCAGGGTTTTATTAACTCAGACTTTCAGGCATTTTGAACAGCTTTGATCCATGTTTATATATCACACCTTCAACCAAACCTGAGTAGAAAGGAATTTCATTTTAGTTTTCTGGTGAGGCAGTGAAGCAGGTTGATGTTAAATAGAGGATACACTGACAGTATTTGGGTTTGTTTTTTTTACCAAATGTCCTAGAACTTTGAATTTCACTCATGTGTTTTTGTTGTTTTTTCCAAACTGCAAAACTGCACTTGGAAAAAGTTGTGGTTGCCAAGTTTTTAGAGTGAGAGGAAGTGGTTTTATCAACAAAAAAGAGTGAACCCCTCCTCCCCCCGAAAACATTTAAAAAAAAAAACTAAACTTATCTTTATTTGTCATCCCCCTCCACATTATGAGATGGTCTGGACCTGTACGGCTCGTCTATGAGTGAGTAAGAAAACTGATGTGGTTGGTGTATATAATATTTGGGCTGTGGTCCTAACCAAGAGGGAACATCAGTTGGAGACTTTGCTTCTGGATTTTTGCAGTTTTTCTTTTCAGTATTTGACTTTTAAAGAAGAATTCATCAGAGGACCTTAAATCTATCTGTGCTGCCCCTGGGGGCGGGGAGAGGGTATTGACGTCCTAGAACTTATTGACTGAGCCAAAACATCCCAAAGGCCGGTCCATCACAGAACCATGAATCGTTTACGATCACAACTAGAGCTAATTAGGATTTGCACAACTCCCCCCCCCCCCCCCCCCCCCCTCCCCCC